AAAAAAAAAAAAAAGGAAATGTTCTTTTTGACTATTAATCAAATAAAATGGAAAGTGCATTAACTAAGTTGCAGCATTCCTTAGCAAAAGACATACAGAAACTAATTAACTAATTGCAATACATACATAAATAGGAATAAACACCTGTTCTGCTGAACTATTTTATATGTTATATACATTTTTATAGTGTTTTAATATTTAATATTTATTAATAATATAGTGTATATGTTATATACAGTATATACTAGTCTCATTGGATTCCATTTACAATGGTACTATTGATATACAGTATATACTAGTATACAAAATATTTATTAAAATTAATCATTGATGTACATACATTGATTTATTTACTTTATATTTAATAGCAATATATTTATAGATGCATATAAATTAATGTTTACATAATATTTATTAATATTAGATATTAGATAATCTATTATAAGTGACATTTATTAATGTATTAATGATTTCTAATAATTATCTAATATTAATATGCGTTATTATATTTCTGTGTATTCTTCTACATGAAAGTCAGCAAAAGATTAAGAGAAAATTTGGAAATGAACATTTTAAAAGAATTATGCCTTATGAGAAGAGAGATTCCCCCAAATATTCCCCCCTAATATTAATATGCGTTATTATATTTCTGTGTATTCTTCTACATGAAAGTCAGCAAAAGATTAAGAGAAAATTTGGAAATGAACCTTTTAAAAGAATTATGCCTTATGAGAAGAGAGATTCCCCCAAAAGACCCAGAAAAGGCAGTTTTATAGGAGAAAATAAAATAGTGACTGGTGTTTCCTAATAGCTGCAAGGCATTCACTCACATCTTAAAGTAGAACAGGGGGAGGTTAGTGACCTACAAATAATCCAGTTCTGTCCATCAGATCTCAATAAATAGACTGTAAAAATAGGTCCAAATAATATATGTGAAATATTCTATGTTTCAACAACAACGACAACAAAAAACCCCCACAAAATTTGAAATTTTTTTCCTGAACAATACAATTTTGTATCATTCAGATTTCTTCTCAACTCAGAACAGGCTACATATTGGCAAGGACCCTCATAGCTCGAAGCGCTGTGTCACATGAAGCCAGCCCTGTCTGTTCTGGTCCAGAAAGTAGGATAAAGAGCTAACCACAATATATAGGCAATATCCTGAAAACGTAGCTTGCTAGAGTACCCTGCCTCAGTAATATGGAATAAACATCAGCTATTATTGATAATGCATCTTCCTGGGGCTCCTTATCTTGTACTGTTCCCCTGTATTCAAAACATTGGGGACTGCTTTTTAAATTGATTTTGGTATCTACAGCCTAGGCTCCTAGAATTGCAAATATGTTAGTATATGTTCACGGCAGGTCATCAAAAACTTGTTGATTAAAGTTTATAATATCTTTTGTGGATCTTTCCTAACTCCATGTTCCTATGTGTTTCTCCTGATATACAATAAGATACACTCTAGATTCAGCCTAAGGGTAAAATAATATGTTCTGTTTCTTTTCAATATCTTTTTTGATGAAGTTCAAACTTGTATGGAACATGCTATCTCTAATGGAACATCAAACCTCAAGATTCCATTTACAATGGTAATTTGATATGATGTCATTAGTTTGAATCCTATTAGCTTACATGCCAAGTTGGATAAATTTTTCCTAAAGCATTGTACATACCTACACTGGAATTCATATTCTACTTTTCTGCTTACTCAGATAGTCTTTTTGTTTGGTCTTCCAGAGAGCAGCCTTTGAGTGCACAACAATAGGTGGGGGAACTTGTACTCTCATTGGAGTAGCTGCTGGTGACAAAGGATTGACCATTACTGCGCCAGAACTAATCCTGGGCCGTACTATAAATTCAACATTCTTTGGTGGTTAGTTTTTTTTTTTTCTTTATAGTGTACAATTTTCTTCATGGTAATACTGAAATTCTTAGAGTGAAGGTTACTGAAATGGAAGAAATAATTTGTATAGATATTGAGTGCCTAGAACATATTTAATGACTACACAAAAACTATTCTATTTATTACTTGAACATAAATGGAGTTTATATAGAAAGATAACTGCAGTTTACAAATTGAATTCAATTTGCATTTAAATAAACCAACATAGAGGAACAAAAGATAAACTTTGTCTTAGTTGAATAATTCCTTATCTAGAAGGGAAAACAATCTTGAACTTCTTCATAAAGAAAAAATGTAAAAACAGATATAAGTACAGAAATTTAAAAATAGAAAGGGGAGGCTGGGTGTGGTGGCTCTTGCCTGTAATTCTAGCATTCTGGGAGGCACAGGCTGATGGATTGCTTGAGCTCATAAGTTCAACACCAGCCTTAGCAAGAGTGAGACCTGTCTCTACTAAAAATAGAAAAACTGAGGTAAAAGGATCGCTTGAGCCCAAGAGTCGGAGGTTCCTATGAGCTATGATGATGCCATGGCACTCTACCCAGGGAAACTTCTTGAGACCCTGTCTCAAAGGAAAAAAAATAATAATAATAGAAGGAGGAGTTCAACTTATTTGAAGCAAGACAAATCTGACCTAATAATTTTATTACTACAACAAACGCTGACTAAACTACTTCTTCATGTCAAGTACTATGTCTTTTTTTATTGGCCAAATTATAGGGTGGAAAAGTATAGATTCTATTCCAAAGCTTGTTGCTGACTACAAGAATAAGAAGTTCGATCTGGATGCACTGGTGACCCACACTCTGCCTTTGGACAAAATCAATGAGGCATATGACCTAATGAACCAAGGAAAAAGGTAAATTAGCAAATAAAGGATAGAATGGTTTAGAAAAATGATTCTATTTTTATTTGATGTTAAGAACTAACCAGTTTGTTTTTGCTACCACTTTCCACATCAGAGATACTAGATATGCTTAAAAGATTAAATAGTTGCCATTTGGAAAAAGGAAAAGCTTCCATTTCAATAATGTGCACCGCTACACACAGTTACAACATAAAGTGGTGATATAAATTGACACATATTTTCCCTTCCACAAACAATTAATTGAAGTAGGGCTGCTCCCCAGAAAGAGAAGTTCCCATAGAGCAAAATTTTAGATCCTTCTGGTACTTACTCTTGAGTCTGGCATCATTATGTTCTGCAATCTGGCACACAGGGCCCACTCCAGACCCTTGGTGAACAGAGAGGGGTGAAAACTATAGTGATGTGAGTAGTGAGTAGCAGATAGCGGGTAAAGGCTTCCCCAACCCTCTCGTTTTCTTGCCTTGCATGTGGCTCCAATAAGATACCTTCTGATCCACTATTTTAGCTATATTACGTTATATTCCCTTGCCATGGATCCTGGAACTGATTTATAGAAATGTCCCAGTTGGGGGGATCCCAGTTGGCATTGGGGAACTGGTAAGACTAAGATCAATGATTTCAGGTAAAATGATTAAGCACAGCCTCAATCTACAGAAGCAAAGGCCAAAAACACCAGGAATGAGGTTACATAGAAGAAATTCAGGAAAAGAAGAAATGAAAAGAGAAGACATAACAAAAGGGGAGGAAGCCAAAGTAAAATGAAAATGACAGGCCTTTAAAGCACAGAATAAACACTGCAGAAGAAAAAGATAGTTTTGTGTTATAATGACCCAGGCTACTTTATGGGAAAGAAACTCACTGACATGAACTCAACGTGCAAACATATTATCTACAATACATCAAAAAGAAATTCAATAAAAAGAAAAGAAAAAATAAGCATTATTTTTTAAGCTACACTATGTAAATCTAATGCATAAGACTTGCAATATTTTGCACAATCTCAGTATCACCATAAAAAGTATTCCTCAAATTACAAATTGGACTGGAATTTTGGCCTTAGACCATTGACCACCTCTCCCATAACCCCTTTCCCTTAGAGTTCTCAGTCATGAAATATACCCACAAGGAATGCTAAATGGAGCCCAACAGAAAATGCTGCATTGTTTTATTAGAAATAGGTGGACAAAAAAAAAAAAAAAAAAGAAAAGAAATGAAATAGGTGTTTGCTATTCTCTAAGGAGGCCTTCCTGGTAATCAGCTTAGAGGTAGACACCTGAGTGGGGCCTCCTACTCCTTCTCTGATCCACTGAAAAAACACCCAATTGCCCACACAGATGCAAAGGTAGTAAAAGTCAAGTCAGAGTGTGGGCTTTCCCAGATGTACTCACCATATGAATATAGGAAGCACAAGACAGGGCAGAACCTCCTACCATACCAACTGCATAGAAGCAAGGTGGTGGGAAGAAGGGGATGGGACACAATGACCCACTGGCCCATTGAAGTGCAGTGACCCTGCTCCATGAGGAAGAAAGGACACAAAGGTTCTCCTTCCACAGGTAGGAGTAGCTTTAAGGTACTAGGTAGAGAAAACATTTATGCATGGCACCCCACTGATGCCAGCAATTTCACAGCTCAGCAGTAATGTCTGAGATAAGAAATTCTTTATCCTTGAGGCTTAATTTCTCTTTCCTTCTACATGTTGGAGTTTTCCAGAAGTAAGAACTTTTGGTTCTCAGAAAGTAGCATCCCAACACAACCACCACCCTCTCTTTGATGCCCAACTTAGCCCTTGGCTATAGGGGAATCACAAGCAATGACTATGCTAAGACTAAAGCCTCACCTCCACCACCCACACTTGGTCTGTTCTACTTCTCAACACAAGGACGTGCTCAGGGTCAAGTGAGGGGCCTCCATTTCCCCCCAGTTAACTAGCACTATGTATAAAATATTATTAAATGCCACAAGTGGAAGAGGATGACAAGATAAAAGAAATTAACAAAGTCAATGTCTACAAAGGAAGACCAGATCCTTAAATAAAAAAATAAAAATTATTCGTGGGCTTTGGTTAAATTTATCATGAAAATTATATTTATGAGTGTTTTTTACCATAACAGCATCCGAACAGTCCTGATCTTGTGAAGATGCCGGGAGTGATTTGGAATACATCTGACTGAATCTGAACCTGATTTTATTACTTGATATAATGAAACGAGGAAAGCTATGAATTTAAACAAATATTTATAGTTAGTATCTCAACATAAATTTACAATAGAATTTGTACCCATAAAATATTTTTTCCTATGTTAAATATGATAATTAAAGTGTTTAGGAATAGAATATGATGTTTAGAGGTTGTTTAAAACTAGTTCTGGGAAGATAAAAGTGGGGAATGAGATATTTAATAATTAAAACTAGATTGGAACACGTTTATAATTGTTTAGTTGGGAGATGACTATATGGAGTTCCATTATACTGTCTATGTTGAAAATTTTCCACAATAAAAAGATTTTCACTGGAAAAAAAATCGCTATGTGTATTTTATGTATCTACATTTAAAATGCTATTGTATAATTTGTGTCCCTATAAACTCAAAGCTACTTTTTTAAATAAGCTACTAAACAATCTCCTTTTAACATTTGTTAATTTCTTTTGTTTTAGCCAGTCTATTACTATTAACTATAATCACAAGTAACAGGATATCAGAATTTAGTAAATGAAGGTTTTAAAAAGAAAAAAACACATTTATACTCTCAAATTTCTATCTCTATTAAAATAACTACCCCACCTATGGCTCAAGCGGCTAAGGCACCAGCTACCTACATCTGAGCTGGCAGGTTCAAATCCAGCCTGAGCCCGCCAAACAACGATGGCTGCAACCAAAATAAAAAATACCCAGGCGTTGTGGTGCGCGCCTGTAGTCTCAGCTACTTGGGAGGCGGAGACAGGAGAATCATTTGAGCCCAGGAGTTGGAGGTTGCTGTGAGCTGTGATGCCACAGTACTCTACTCAGGGCAACAGCTTGAGGCTCTGTCTCCAAAAAATAAAAAATAAAAATAAAAAAGTATAATAAAATAAAATCACTGCCCTTTCATCTTGAGTAATTATTACAACATATAATAATATGTTTAGTGCTTTACTGTTTAATATCTGTAACTGGCACTGTAATCCTATTTTATAGTCAAGTAAAAGTGACAAAAATCAATGTACTTATAGTAAAGTAACATAATAAGGAACAATATTTAGTAACATGACTTAACAAATAGATTTATATCAAAAGTAGCAAGTTTTCGAACTCTTATACATGTTACAACGGACAGTTTAAATGGATAAGATGGATAATAATTAGATAAAAAGGCTTGCTTTTACCTTGTAGTAACTTCTGAAACCTACTAGTTTTCTATAAAAATTGTTTACCATACATTGAATTCTAAGAGAGTTAATGGAAAAAGAGGGTCCAGCTACCTGTCACTGTCCAGCCAATATGCAGAGACAGTGTTTAGGTCCAAACAAGCTTTATTTTTTAGAAGGCCAGCGATTCTGGAGAACAATGAGAGTAACCTCTAAATTCTGTTCTGCCTCAGTTACAATTCTAATAACTTTTATAATGAAATACAAGGAAACCAACCTAGAAAATTTTAACTTTACCTGATAGAAAGTAACATCAAAGTAGTATCTATTCCAACAACGCAAAATGTTTAAACAACAGAAAGGTAGTTTTCATTTTAACTAAATATGTAAGAGAATTATAAGAGAAAACATCACATCATCAAAGTAACCTTTACCAATATCATAATACCTATTGTCTATGTGTGACTACCTCCTTACAGTCTCCTGAGATAAACATCCTCACAATCACAGTGAGACCAGCCTGAGGAAAAGCTAGATCCCATCTTTATCAGAAATAGAAAAATTAGGCAGGCATTGTGGCAGGCACCTGTAGTCCCAGCTATTCAGGAGGCTGAGGCAGGATCACTTAAGCCCAAGAGTTTGAGGTTGCTGTGAGCTAGGCTGAGGCCACGGCACCTGGGCATCAGAGTGAGACTCTGTCTCAAGAAGGAAGGGAGGGAGGGAGGGAGGGAGAGAGGGAGGGAGGGAGAGAGGGAGGGAGAGAGGAAGGGAGGGAGGATCTTCCTTCCCAGTTTTTCTTTCTCTCTCTCCTCCTTAGCAATTGCTCCTACAGTAAGTGCCCCTGCTCTGTCAGTCTTCTAATTTTAGTACTGTGACTTGAAAAAACAAAAAATAAAGAACACCCAAAACAAACAATAAAAACTTCTGATTGTTTTTATCAAAGTTGTTAGGATTTTTTTTTTTTTTTTTGAGACAGAGCCTCAAGCTGTCCCCCTGGGCAGAGTGCTGTGGCATCACAGCTCACAGCAACCTCCAACTCCTGGGCTCAAGCGAGTGTCCTGCCTCTGCCTCCCAAATAGCTGGGACCACAGGCGCCCACCACAATGCCCAGCTATTTTTTGGTTGCAGCCATCATTGTTGTTTGCCAGCCGGGGCTGGATTCAAACCCTCCATCTTAGGTGTATGTGGTTGGTGCCTTAGCCACTTGAGCCATAGGCGCCGAGCCAGGATTATTTATAAGATCAATGACATCTCAGGGTGAAGTATGCAGATTTACAGCTTATCCTGGATTATTTTTTCTGCAGCAGAGGCTTTTTCCTTACCATGCACATAGTTGAAATTCCTAGCAAATATAACATACAGTAGTGTAATTGTTCAAAATTTATACCCAATGCCTAGGTTAGCCAAATATCTCTCTCTCAAAATGAGGAATGAATGCTGAACCTTTCTATGATACTCCAGAGACAACAAAAATTATATACCAGTGGCGCAATTGGCAATACGTAGAAAACTTCCGCTCAACACCTACACTTCAAAGATATAACAAAAAGTCTGCAAACTACTGACAGCTATCTACTTTTCCTGAGCGTTCTCACATTCGTTCTTCACTTAAAATATCAAAAGATATATGGGTCTTAAAAAAACTAATTTGGGGTGTCAGAAATGATTACAGATCTTTAAGGATGCTAGTTAATAGGGTGCACAATACTTGAACTTGTAAGGCTATACAATCACAGCGTATTCCTTTGAGATGGGAAAAATGCAGTTGTAAGATGTATTCACTACGCCTTCAGACACCTTAGCTTACACTGTCATGGTTTTCCAAATACTGCTATAGTGCCCTCTGGTGTTTTCTTATGTTTTCCCATCACCTAGATTCTATTTTCTTGAAAAGAGGAATCAAAAAGAGAGTAAGAGCAACTTTCATTTGTATCTCTGCTGACATTTTAAAGAGCATTTTCATACATACCATTTCATTTGACTCGCCAGCATTTTCCACAGGACTATAAGCTTCCTGAGGACAGAACCATTTTCCTTACAGACAGCAGGCCTCCTACAACGCACCCTTTGAAGAAAGCAAGGCGGAATTTATAAACTTCATTAAATGAATCCTGTATTATGGGAAAAACATACCATTTTTCTGACTGGCTTATGAGAACTATGCTTCTCACCTGCAAGCTGAGAGATGCAAGCATTCTTTTAAGGATGGATGGGAACAGGTAAGACAATGTCCTAGTTCCTAGGAGATACTTGCTGAAGAAGTTAGGGGTAGATTTCATGAGGTTTGCAACTGCTTTTCAAAATGTTCATCAAATGTCCGGCAGAATGGTTTACACTTGTAATCCTAGCACCTTTGGAGGCAAAGGCAGAAAGTTTCACTTAATCAAGCCCAGGAGCTGGAGGATGCAACAAGCTGCAATCTGCCACTGCACTCTAGCCTGGGAGACAGAGCAAGACCCTGTCTCAATCAATCAATCAACAAAATTTTTAAAAGGTATGAGAGAGATATAAATGTGGGAAAAATATTAATTGGTACATCTAGGTGAAAGACATATTGGTATTTATTGTCCTGTTTTACAAATTTTGAAATCTTGAAACTTTTTAAAATAAAAAGTATGTTGAAAAAGAAATGGTTTACAACTTCAGATTCAATAGAGAAATCACTTTTCATAATATTCCTGACACATGGTCAGTCAACTTTGGGTTAAATGTCTTCAGAGGCCAACTTCTTCCTTATGGCTAAGCTAAGATCTGCGTTCCTAGTCCTGCTCTTTGGAACGTCACAGAGTAAGCTCAGTCCCTCCGATAGCTGAAGACAGCTGCGTGGCTTTCTTACCCCCAACAATCAGGTCCCCTTCATCCTAACTAAATATCTCTAAGTATAACTTAAATTAAATATTCCATATGCAATCTGAATAATATATTATTTGGAAAGATATACCAGCAAGTTTGTATTTATATATTCTTTGGCAGTCATCTCCTATTGTTGACAAATATTGACTTTTTAAAAATCCCTAAATATTTCCTCTCTGAGATGCTATTAAAGCAGATCACTCTTATTCTATAACTTTAATCCCAAGGAGAGACTGTTTATATATGTAGTCTCTGAAATTTCAAAGTCTTTTTGGAAGGAAATTATAACTTAATATGATATTTAATAATACAGAAGAAAAACAATGTCCTCATTTTATTATTATTAAACAATTCTTATCCCTGCTCCATCCCTGCCAATAGAAAACTATTCACTAGGTCTGCTCATATGTAGCTAATAAATTTTAGAGCCAGACCTTAAAAATGAAAATCTTTGCAATTAACCAAAGGAATCTAAGAAAGATTTGAAAGAGATGTCCCTTATCCTTGCAACTATGAAGAAAGAAATACAATTCTACATCATAAACTGTTTCCCAAGAAAACCTAGTATTAAATTATAAACATTCCCAAGAATATCAATTTGTTCACAGCATATGGAGATGTGTGAATATTCATAACTGTTACTAAAACATCTTCTGTTCTTTATTAAAAAGAAATGCATCTTCATTAATATAAATGTTATTTAAACCAAAAGGTCTTGTATGACTCCGAAGGCATTAGAAAGTATTGCTTTGTCCTGTGAAAACAACCTCCAAAAGGAATCTGTAATCCTGATTGTTTTACTAGTAAGATTTTGACATGGTAAGACTATTATAATGGACATCTCAGTATTTCTAAATTTTAATTAATTAATTAAATTTCTCATCATTTCTAAATTTTAATTAATTTCTTAATTTCCTGCCAAATTAAGAGATCATCCACACTTTCCTCTGCACGCATAATAGAATTATTAAAAGTTAATGACTTCACTATATTTTTTAATCATAGATTCTTAATCTATGTTTCATTTACATTAATAAATGAATGATGAATGAATTCTATAAGCAGAATTATGATAGAGTGGGAAAATAATTCTCTAAGTGCTAATCCCAATGAGAACACGTATCTGCCTCCTCTATGTTAAAAGGGATCCAGTGTAATCATAGAGCAACTGTCTAGACCCCCTGAGGTATTATCCTGCACTGGGGACCCAGGGATGGTGGCAGTGCTTCTCAATCAGGTATTCAGCAGTCCAAGAGCTAAAATAGCCTTGGTAAGGGAATGTCTATGCTGTTGGGCTCACACTTGTCTCTGCAGCCACTACATCTATAAGCCCACTAAACAAGCACTTGGACAACCTGCTGAACATCCCTAGGGTGGGTCATCTTGTTCACCAGATTATTGACAATGTCACCCAAAATCAGCTCTTTTGGTGAGAATCACATGAAACAAATTTCCTCACACTTGCTGGATATCTCTTCTGCAGATTCTCTTATTAACAAATTTATAATCTTATTCCTTCAAAATCCCCAGTTATGATGCCAAATCATTAATCATCAATGTAGACCCTTACTGCAAGCTAGTTCATTCCTGTCCAAGAGGACTCACAGAAATAAAATGCTTGAGATTCTGTACCCTGGCAAGATTTCCCAAGTCTACCAACAGCCAGAATATTAGACAAAGTATTTGTAAATCAAGCTGAATTTCTCTTCAGATTCTATGAACTGCTCCTATAACAGAAACAATTTCCCCTAAGAGGTGGAAGTGAAATAGGAGTGTAAGTTAACTGCTCAGGCAGTTTACTGGGCCTCCAGGATCTGCTTGGGTCCAGTCCCACATATATATACATATATATAATTAATAATAATATATTATTATATATATAATCACTTCTACTTTATATACTAGCCTCTTAAATATGTCCAGTGTTAAAATTCTGTGGATCAGATAATACCTAGTTCATGGTGAGAAAACTTAAATAACACAACCATCTAGTGTTGCTCACAGTCAGGCATTTAATTTTAACCAGGGCTAAAAAGACCATGACTTTGATCTAAAACTTGAGGTTCTCCACCATGATTCTACTAGTGGAACTTGACACAGGCTTCATTCAATGCCTGCCACAGACAATTAAAAACCATTCAGTCCATAAAAGGAAAGCATCAAGCGTTTTTCTCATGGTAATCTAGACCAGTCAAGACTTCTCCCCCTCTAAACTCTACTCAAATCGGTATAAATAGGTGTAAGCTTCCCCAAAATGATGCTGCCTACACTGGTTGACTATTCATCAGCCATTCCTCACTGCTCCCTTAAAAACAGATCCCCAATTCACATTTAATTCGGTAATTGCCCCCTTCACTTTCTAGTTTGACTGAAAACATCAAGAGGTAGGTAGGGCATGAAGAAATTGACCTCCCCTTAGAGGTTTGCTGCTCAGGCAGGCAAGGTCCTTATATGGGCTTCCAGTCAGACGGTGGCATCCTCAATGGATAGATAAAAGGACAAAAATGTTTTAGTTGGCAAGGAAAGATCAGTGGAGATCAGAGATTCAGGATAATCTGAGTTACTACAATCTTTCAATATGTCCTCATTACAATATTTGGGATTCTATTATTTCCCAGTCAATGCCCTGGTGTTCATATAAGAGACGTGGCACATGCCTGCAAACTTAATCAGTGTTGCAACTGGAAACCTCCAGGGCCAACTTTTACTTTGGCTTCTATCTGTTTCAGCCTTATGACTTCAAGAAATGATTAATTCTTCCATTATTGTCACTTCTAGGCATCAGCTCATACTGAAAGATACACATACCTAGGATATCAAATTTATAGGCACAGAATTTTGATTTCCATGAGATCTACAGGGATTTTCCCTCTTTAATTTCTGATTTTAATAATTTGTGTCAGGCCAGGCACAGTGCCTCACACCTATAATCCTAGCACACTGGGAGGCCAAGGCAGGAGGATCACTTGAGTTCAGGAGTTCAAGACCAGCCTAAGAAAGTGCAAGAACCTATCTCTACAAAAATAGAGACATCATATTTTGTGTCATCTCTCTTTCTTTCTCAATTAGGCTGGCTAGAGACTTATGGACTTTATTGATCTTCTCCAAGAACCAATTTTTGGTTTTATTGACTCTGTTTTCAATTTTATTGATTTCTACTCTAATTTTTATTATTGTTTCTTCTGCTTGCTTTCAATTTACTCTTTTTTCAATTTCCTAAGATATTCATAGAAACTTAGATTATCAATTTTAGATCTTTCTTCTTTTCTAATATATGCATTCAATGTTATAAATTTCTCTCGGCACTGCTTCTACTACATCCCACACATTTTAAAGGTTGTATTTTTGTTTTCACTTATTTTTAAGTATTTAAATTTGCAATAGACATTTATAACTAATCCAATTCCACTTTCAAATAACACTACAGTACTTCATAGGTAGTATAAGTATTTTATAATGACAAAAAAATCCTAATTTCTTCCTCCTGGCCCTTGCACCACTGCTGTCACTCATTTCACTTTTATGCAAACTATACTTGTTGAATTTTAATTTCTCTTGAGACTTCTTTTCTTCTTTGAGATAAGTTATTTGAAAGTATGGTGTTTATCTCTCAGTATTTTAAGACTTTCTATTATTGATTTCTAGTTTAATATCATTGTAGTTAGATAGTGTATGTCTTTTATGTTTGCTGATGTGTGTTTAATGTCCCAGAACATGGTATATCTTAGTGAATGTTCCATGTGAACTTGAGAAGAAAGTCCATTTTGCAGTTGTGGATAAGTAGTCTATAGATGTCAATTATATTCCATTGATTGATGGTGCTATTGAATTCAATTATGTACTTATTTTCTGCCTACTGTATCTGTCCATTTCTCATAGAGGAGCATTGAAGTCACCAACTATTAATATCATAGGGGATTTATCTATTTCTCTTTACAGTTCTATCAGTTTCTGTCTCATGTATTTTGACAATTTTATTAGGACATATCCACATTATGAATTGTTCTGTCTTCTTAGGAAATAGATCCTTTTATCATTATATAATTCCTCTCTTTTAAGCCTCATAATTTCCCTAGCTCGGAAGTCTGCTCCATCTGAAGTTAATTTAGTTCCCCCAGCTTTCTTTTGATTAGTGTTTGCATGGTATATCTTTCTCTACCCCATTACTTTTGATGGATATATCTTTTAAGTAAGTTTCTTGTGGACAACACACATTTGAGTCTTATTTTTTGATCCATCTGATAATCCGCCTTTTAATTGGTGTATTTATGTTGGAGTTAGGCTGATTTCTCTGTAGCCCCTCCCATACAGGGTAAAGCACAGAGGTGGGCCATCCCTGGGGCTCTTTATCAAGAACAAGTTGAAAGGAGCCTGGAGACAGCCCAGACTGGGTAATGTCTTCAAGACCATCCCTGCATAGAGAATCAGCAGGCAGGTAGCTAAGCCTTGTTAACTCTTGATCAGTAGTTAGAGAAGTTTGTTTGCTCTGTGGAAAGGA